TGATGGGTGACGGATGATGGGTGATGGGTAGCGCAGATTGCTCCATTGGAGATCCACCTTTACGTGATCGGATCAATAATATTCGCTATGGGTCCCGCTGTCGTGAAGTTGGCAGGACCCTTTTCAATTTGATTTTTTCGTGACGAAGTAGTGGCGAACAGTTTCACATGTTTTTGGTGCAAAGCACAGTTTATGCACAGTTTTTTGGTCCCAGAAACTTGGGTTGGGTCCGGTGAACTTTGCGGAGGTTGGGCAAACATCTACTTATTTTGGAATATCATGTCACATTCCTGAGAATGTAACATACATACTGCATAGCTTTGCTCTTGCGGGCCTAGTGCATAATTGGCGTGCCTATGTCACGTTATACAGAATATGTGACATGATTATACAAGTAATGTGACATAATAAATCATTCTGACAAAGCTGCTGTTAAAATAGTGCTAAAAAAAAAAGTCTGAAAATCCAGACAATTTGGTAGGAAGCAAAATGACATACTAAAGGTCTAAAAATTCAGACTGTTTCGTCTGAATTTGTGGTATGAATTTTTAGTAAGCATTTTCAATTATCTGACAAGGGAACCTTTTCAAATCTCCGATTTCGTTGGTACTCGGAAAATTTAAAGGTTATTATAATAGAAGTCGGATGGCACTTGAAATTTTTCCTAAACTTAACATTTACTAGGGGTTTACTTAAGCCTGACATTGTTTTTTTGCTCCAAATATCCCTCTAACGCTTTAACGGTTCAAAATAGAGCAAAACGGACAAACTTTGGTAGAAAGGGCACTGCTTTGACGAGTTACCCCTTAGAACACTGCTTTACATTTTTCAAGAAATATTTTTTCTAACACCTTACTCCTACCCGACCTTATATAGGGGAAAACTAAATGTCAGGTTTAGGAAAAATTTCAAGTGCTATCCGATTTCTACATGAATAACCTTCAAATTTTCCAAGTTTCGACGAAATTTGAGATATACACCTGAAAAGGTTCACTTGTTAGTCTGGCTAGCAATTTCATAACCTTAGTCTAAGTTTCAGATCTTCATTTAAAATGAAGTTTTCTGGACGCTCTTTGTCGTCTCCTTCAATTTGGATTGTGGTCTAAGTAATTAGCTAGGAATTTGTTATTGTACCTTAATTAGCTACCCGGAGTCGAACCTCAGACATTTGGATTAATAATCTCTCATCCTTGACCACACGACCACGACGACAAGAAGGAGGGAAAACCGACGGCTAGTGAGATACAGACTACACGTTTTCTGTGATACAGAAATATTGCACGATGTTGTGATGATCATCGCAGGAAAAGTACAAAATTAAATTCATTGCTTATATTTGTTATGACGATCACTCATTTGAGCGATACTTTTATGTATCACAGTTTTGTGCGATGTGCATTCACACCGTTTTGTATGAAATCCGAAATCATCGCATTATTATGCAATAGGCATCGCATAAACTTGTGATAAAAATTGACCCCTTCCCCAGGAGTGATAAATCGTGGGAATCACACGGGGCGTTTTATCTCACGAAAATGTGTGAAAAGCATCACACTTCCGAATTACAGTGTACCTGCCTGATCCTGTGTGCTCCGGTGTGATCCCGGGACTAAACTAAATATTCACACTTTTCTTGTCTGAATTCCAGACTCAGGCCTTCGTCTGAATAAATACTCTGAATTTTCACTTTTTCTTGACTGAATTCTTAATTCAGACCTATCACTGTAATTCGAAGTGTGATACTTTTCACACATTTTTGTGTGATAAAAATTCCTGGGTGATCCCCATGATTTATCACTTCTGGGGGTGCGATGAATTTTTATTAAAAAATGTGTGATACTTATTGCAAAATAATGCAATGATTCTGGATCTATTTCAAAGCGGTGTGACGCATATTGCACAAAATTATGATACATCGAAGTGTCACTCGAATAAGTGATGGTCATCACAAATAGTAGCTATGAACTTAATATTATACTTTTGCTGCGATGATCATCACAACATCGTGCAATATTTCTTTATCACAGAAAACGTGCAGTCAGTATCACACTCGGATTTACACTGTAGGTATGAAATTTCAGACGTTGACTAAGAATTATGACAAAATTGTATGAAAACCCCTCGAAAACCCCCATCCAGACATCAAAGTCTGAAAAAGTTAGTCTGAATTTTCAGTTGTTTTTTTTTCACAGTGTGAAATGCAGAGGAAATGCGGAAAATAAGAAAACGGAAATCACGATGATGGCTAAAGCCTGAAGCACGGTAATTTCTGTTTTCTGGTTCCCTGCGTTCTGCATCTGCACTTCAGCTTTACTGGAATGCTTTATTCACTTTTTATAGAATGTGACGTCACAGTATTTGAATAACAGTCAGTGCGTTCAGCGAAAAATCGCAAGCGTATTCGCAATGCTTAAAAAATATACTATCAACCGTTTCAACAGGCAGTACAAAAATTTAAATCTTTTTCAGGTTTCCAAACTTCACTCAAGTCTGTATCGCCTACTCAACAACAATTTCGTGACAAAAGAAGAAACCCTCCAGGTGTTGGATGTTTAATATTAAGAAGATACGGTTGGCTTTTAGATAATTGGCAACTGTGAGGTACATGCCAACCTACCCTCCAGCCAAAAATAAGAGTTGTCAGCTTCACTTTTTTCACTAAGCCGGCGACTCGATTTTGTACACCCAAATCAGGGAGCAGGCCCGGACTGGCCATGGTGCTATGGGGTGCTGGCATCCGGGGCCCCGCGGCAGCGGGGGCCCCTGTATTCGGGTTCCTGTTGGGGCCCTCCTTGGTGTCCTCGGGTAAAAGGCAGGGATTTTGCACAAACCCGGGAAACCTTTACAGAGCCCATAAGTCGCTGTGTCTTTCTACAGAAGTGAAAGGGAAACGGCACAAAAACGTTATACTAGGAGAGCATGATCACGCTCAAAACACAAGTTGTGTCATGAAATTTCGGAGAAAATTCTCGCTCGCTTCGCTCGCAGTTTCCTCGGCGGTTTACTTCCGTAATGCTTTCAAAATCAAAGCGGAAGACCGCGGCCCCTCAATTTGATATGCGAAAAGAATCAGTCGGGCTTTTATCACATCAAAATTAGGAAACCGGAACTTCTGATATTCGACGAAATTATTCATTGAAAGGTCTTTGGCTGAGCGATTAGGTAAGCCTATTACTCCAGTGATGATCAAAAAGTTTTGTGTCAGTCTGTCTGTGTGTTTGTCTGTCTGTGTGTTTGTCCGTAACCACGATAACTCGAGAAGGGTTCCAGCGAGGAGGCTCAAATTTTTATTGTTACTTCGTATCAGAAAAATTTCTAACTTTTGGGGCCGAAGGCCTAATTACGACTCAGCCTTTTGCCCGACTCCGACTCGGGTGTGAGTGCCGCAGGCCTAGGTAGATGTATGCCGGGCGCGTCACAAGCGTGACAGTGTTTCGTGAGATATCGCGAAGCCTGCTGTGCGAGACCTGGTCTGGTGTACATCCTTCTAATATTTTGTTGATGGGAAAGTCAACGTTTGAGTGATAGGAGATGATCTAGGGCACCTAGAATCCCAATGAGGGCGTGGTTCGTCGCCAAACGCGTGGTTTTTGTTTTACTCCCGTTACAATTTTTTTTCAAAAAAAAAAGCCTCTTTTTACGACCTAAGGAACCATTTAGTCTTTTTCACATAATTTTCGTCAACAAACGCCCTCTACGGCCTAAACGGTACAAGTCCGAGAGGAACGGACGCAATTTACGTTAGTTAGCCCTATTTTTATGTTTATTGCTAGGAACCAAGAATAAAAACGATTTTTTGAAAAAATCGATTCGTGACCAATGGTTTTTGATGTTAAGCCCGCCCTGCTGCTTTAATAGAAGCCTTAAAGCGGGCTTATGCAACCGCTCTCGTGTCCGTCCGTCTGTCGTCCGTGTAAGAGGAAGGAGACTTGCTAGAGGCCTACAAATTTCAGGGTATGTTAAAAGTCACTTCTGGACACCGAATCGCCTGGTGCAAATTCTGGCAACCATCCCTAAGGGGATGAAAGCGGGTAACAAAGAAATAAGGGTTGATGGAAAAAGTGGTAAACAAGCAGGCCCGCCCTTCCGCCAAACGCAGTTGCCAGCTCCACTTCGCTGCGCTGGCAACTCCGTTCGGCAGGGGCCGGGCCTGCTTGGCCTGCCGGCGGCGATGTTCGGGCCTGCGGCCCGACCATTTCAGTCTCGCGATTTACTGAAGAACATAACGAAATAAACAATGTGACCGGTAAATCACTTTGCATATTTGGGTAAACTAACTTCCGGTGGGGGGCCTGCGGCCCTAGAGATTTGCTCCTTTCACATGACAAAAGACTGTAACGGGGCAACACTGTGACTACACCCCACCCTTCTGCTTTGCTTCAGAAAAATACAAAAAAAAAAGAACCAGCGCAGTTTTTAGACTGTATTTTTTGTCGAACAGTCTTAAAACTTGACTTTTTGCCATTGTTTTCAATATATCCACCTCTAGAGCCGGAACAGTGAAAGATACGGCAAATCCGAGGGTGGTTTCTGATCCAAAATGTGTGTTTTTTTTAGGGGGGGGGGGCTACGTCCTCTTCCATTTTACGATTAGAAGCCTCCTAGTACGTCTTTATGTGCAACGTGGCCATTTTCTCCGTTTTTGCGTCGAAAAAAGCACTCTAGCGCCACGGTGCAAGATAGAGTCGAACGGACAAAATTTTCGCCCAAAGGGCTCTTCTTTTACGAGTTACCCCTTAGGAGACCGTAATTTATTTATTTTTCCTACTTTTTGGACCAACCGCTATTTCTTTGTTACAACCTTTCACCCCCTTAGGGGTGGCTGCCAGGATTTGCACCAGGCGTTTCGTTGTCCAGGAGTGACCCCTAAGATACCCTGAAATTTGCAGACCTCTAGCTCATCTCCTTTCTCTTACACGGACGACGGACAGACGGACGGACGGACACGAGAGCGGTTGCATAAGCCCGCTTTAATGCTTTTTTAAAAGCAGAAGGGCGGGCTAAAAAATAACACTTTTTAATGATAATTCTAAGGGTGCATTTGTGAAAGTAGAACCCTCCGCCCTAAAATTTTGTCCTTTGGGCTTTTTATTGCACTGTATGGGCGCTAGAGATGTTTATCCGACAAAAATGCCGTTAAAATGACCATACTGTAAGATATAGACGTACAAGGAGGCGTCCAATCGTAAAATGACAGAGTAAGTGCCCCCTAAAACAGCACATTCCGAATCGGCAACCACCCTCCAACTCACCGTATTCTTAACCGTATCGGAGCTATATATATACTGAAAACAACGGCAAAAAATCAAGTTTGAATACTGTTTGACTAAGAATACAATCTAAAAACTGCCTCCGTTCATTTTTTATAATATTGAAAAGCAAAAGGGTGGGGTGTATTTTCGGTGTCGTCCCGTTACTGTCTTTTCTCATATCCGAGGAGCAAATCTTCAGGGCCGTAGGGCAGGCCAAGCTAGGCCCGGCTCCTGTTGGACGGAGTTGCCTGTGGAGCGAAGTGGAGCTGGCAATCACTTTTGGCGGAAGGGCGGGCCTAGCTTTTTATGACACAAAACGACCCTGAAATTCCCATAGACCGCTACCTCAATTCATTCTCGAGTTATCTTGCATACAGGTAAACAAACAAACAGGCGCACTAACCGTCGACGATTGGTATTTGTTCATAAAGTCAACCAAATTCCAGAAATAATCTGTTGAATTCTAACTCTTTGAGGTCCCCGCAACGACACTTCTTCTAGTAGCGGTGACTTAAGAAGTCGCTGTTAACACTGTAAAAAATCAGTCTTGGATACGGAGCCTGTCACGGCGTTCCGTACCTCACTTTTGGGAGTGATTTTCGAAAGCGGTTCGGAGATTTGACGTTCATGGCCACCGTACCAACGATTTTAACATGGGCTAGCATAGAGAAAGGGGTACAGAACGCCGTAACAGACTCCGTACTCAAGACGAAGACCTTGAGATCAAAATTAGCAGGCCTTTTACGTACCTTTCCGTACCCACGTTTTTTTGTTGTTTTTTTACATGGGCTCTTATGGGAAGAGGGTACGAAACCCAAGGTACGGAGACGCCGTAGGTTAAGTAAACGGCATATTTCCGTATGGGCGACCGTGATTATTTTTTACAGTGAAGATCTGTTCTACTTGCACGGGTCGATGTCCACATTTTTGAGCTGATTGTTCAAATTGGCGATTGGCGAAAACAGTACTACTGTCTGTGCCAGGGAGAAGAGCTGTCAGGCACTGGTGCAAACCACACCTTCTTAAAAGATTAACCTTAGAATTACAGCTCGCCTCTTCGCCAACAAATGCCCATTCCATCCGTGTGTTCTATCCCTGCGTGCTGGAAATTCGCAGTTGACAGGCAGAAAAGGCATCTCAACTGGCGCTGGCCTGCGACTTTGTCGTTCGGGGTCAGTGCAGACTCCTTTCCCGCCAACTGAGTAAATTTACTTGGTGGGCTAACGGAGAAACCTTTCCCGGCCAGTGGTGCTTGTTACTTTGCAGTCGGTGGGCAGGAAATCCACTTGCCGCATACACAGTTAAAGTCTTACGAAGCAAAATGCCAAATGTTCGTACCTACAAAGGATTTTCTCCCTATGAAGCGTCCAAATCCTTCGTATTACAAAGGATTTGGCATTTTTCTTCGTAAGACTTTAACAGTGTAGGCGTGTGGATTCCCGGTACATCACCGAGAAGGGAGCGTTGCCACCCCGGGTACGTAAAATTCACTCTAGTTTTTTTACAGTGTAAGGAAACTTGATTTGAGCACTGGAGTAATGTGCTTTGCTAACGCTCAGCCAACAAGGCAAATATTATTAAGACAAGTCAATTTCCTAGCCTTTTTCCGTATTTACTTCACCTGAACCAAGACGTCGGGGGGTAGTGTGGCGCGGAAATTTGGTGTCACGAAAGCGGATGTCGAAACAGTCAGCCACGGCATGCCCTTCCTATAACGGAAGTTGTCAGCTTCAGTTTGCTCCGCCGGCAACTCCGTTTGGCGGCAGGGGCCGTTCCTGCTGGTGGCATTTTTCAAGGCCTCAACCCCGGCCAACGAGTCACCACTCGCATGGTTATTCCGTTCTTTAGAACGGATTTGCACAGTTTTCTGATAAAAATGATCTATACATCAGTTCTATCGCATCAGCCGGTCCAATAGCATTCCGTCTTTTAATGATACTACTACTGAGGGTTAGTTCTAAAGGCTCATCTTGACAAAATGCAATTTCTTGAACTGCAAATGTACTATTCGCACCCCTCTAGTGGGCAAGATTCAGAATTGCAGCTTATCAGTCGACATTTGCACTAAAATGTACCTCATGGGCTAAAAATAAAAATCGTCAGATTTAGAGTGTTGTCTGGCACCGTGATTTCAGCCCAAGCCCCTGCTTTAAAAAAGTAAAACTATTATAAATGGGCAACTTTCAACGTGTATGGTACTAAGAAAAATTATTATCAAACTGAGATTTTTCCGTTTTCTGGTAAGAAAGACTCAGTCAAATAGGACAACTGCATCAACTGAGTCTTTCTTAGCAGCCCCCTTCTCGCAGGAAGGTATCGATACGGTGGCAGTCAGTCACCACCGAATGCGCTGTTTTTCTATCGCTATCTCTCTCGCACTTGACAGTTATCGAGGGGAAGGTCCAGAACAGTCGAGAGTCTACTGTAGCCAGGATGTCCCACATCACAACCGTGAAACACCGGAAAGGTGTTCTAGGTTATGATGACTGGTCGAGGATATCAAATTATGATCCGAAATACGTTCAATGGCTCACGGCTCTACAGCAGCAAAGAAAATTTTGAAAAGTTCTTTAACCCTTTAAGGTACCAAAATAGGCCAGCAGTGAAAAAAATGTTTTTGTTCATATTATGTCTCTTTAGGTCCCAAATAACACAAAAAAAAAACGAAAAATCGTTTTCCTGGTTGTTCTCAGTTATTTTTTCGAGCTGTCGTCACATGACGCCATTGCACCTTACGGTCATGGGGGTGGGCTCAAGACTCCTTTTTAACCAGACAACTTTTTTGCTAGCACACGTCAGTGTGACCTAAATCCATCAATATTTACTCAAATATAATGTTCTCCTGTAATTTCTAAATTTTGTATGTGTTCTTTTCATACTTCAGTATCATATGAACTACTTTTATATCGCGATTCTACGAATATTTCACGAACAATTCCTGTTTTCCGGACAAAATCGTTTGACAACCGTTTACCTATTCAAAACTGCCTGGGGACCCGGTTTCCATAAATAATTGTAGAAGTTATAGGGTTTTTACGTTAGTTGCTGCATTTGTCATGATAACGCAGGTGCCGCGTAGGCATCCAAAATAGTGATTATAACGTTCAAATTTTTAAAATGATAATGTCCAATGCTAAAATCGACGCGCCCGTGCAACAATATCCTATCTGTTTCGCTGCCCCGAAAGACTAGCCTATCTGTTTCGCTGCTCCGAAAGACTAGCCTATCTGTTTCGCTGCCCCGAAAGACTAGCCTATCTGTTTTTCGGCGCTCTCTGCAGCGCTGTCTCTTTCTTACTGTGGGTTTGCCAATATTAACGCTAGGAAAAAAATAAAAATTGCCATTTGTTCCTTGATCTTCAAGGAACACGCAGCAGTTTTTACTTTTTTTCTACCGTTAATATTGGCAAACCCACAATAAGAAGAAGACAGCGCTGCAGAAAGCGCCGAAAAACAGATAGGCTAGTCTTTCGGGGCAGCGAAACAGATAGGCTAGTCTTTTGGAGCAGCGAAACAGATAGGCTATTCTTACGGGGCAGCGAA